CACCCCAAACCTGGACTGACCCCAAACCCCCGGGATTCACCCCAAACCGACCCCAAACCCCAAACTGACCCCAAACCCCTTGTTTTTCCCCCCAGATGCTCCCCTGACCCCATTTCCCATGTTTTTCGCCCCAAACTCACCTCGTGCATGGTGAGGTCAGAGAAGAGGATGACGAAGTTCTCCTCCACCCTCACGATCAGCCCCGTGTCGCCCTCGAACCTCCCCGCGATCACCTTCACGTGGTCGCCCATCCGAAAATACTTCCTGAGCTCCTGGGCCGGGAACTCCAGCATGTCCTGGAGGAGACACCCCCGTCAGGGCTGGCAAAAGGGGTTTCGGGGACAGGGCAGAGCCTTTCGGGGGGTTTTGGGGTCTCCAGACCTTGAGGTCCTCGTGCTTGGGCATGATGGTGATTTTGTTGCCGTCCACGCTCAGGATCTTGCCCTGCAGGTTGATGAGCTCCCCCTCGCACACCTCCACGTTGTCCCCAGGCTGGAAGTTGTGCTCCCGCTCCTTCCCTGGGAGAGAAATGGGATTTGGGGCCTGGGGCATCTGGGGGGATTCCGGGGGGCTGCTGGAGGTGGCTCAGCTCCCCCTCACACCCCTCAACGTCGGGCTGGAAGTTGTGCTGCCCAGGGGACAGGGGGAGTTTGGGGTTGGGGGTGCTGGGGAGAGGAGTTTGAGGGGATTTGGGGTCTGGGGAGGGCGCTTGGAGGGGTCTTTGGGGGCGGGGGACCCCCTACCTGTGCTCTCAGTCACCACCTCCAGGTCGATGCCCTCGGGCTGGTCCTCGAACTTCTCCAGCTCGGACAGGGTGGGCTTCACCCCCTCCGTGATCTGGGGGGTTTGGGGAGTTTGGGCTCAAGCCGTGCATTTGGGGCTCCCACGGGAGTATTCTGGGTTCAAAAAGGGGGGTTCTGGGTCTCACCACGGCCGACATGGCGAAGCTCTTGAACAGGAAGCCCTTCCTGCTGTACCGGTTGCCCTCGAAGATCAGGAAGTCGCCGTCGGAGGCCACGTCCCCCCCCAGGGACCTGCGGGACCCCCAGGTGAGCCCAGGGTGAGCCCAGGGGGTGGGTCCCAGGGGGGATCCCACGGGGAGGATCCCAGGAAGGATCCCGGGGGGCGGTACCGGATTTTCTCGGCGTCGAAGAGTCTCTGGGGCGGCCGCTTGAACTTCTTGCGTTTGGCAAACCAGTCCTTCTGCGGGGGGTGAGGGAGGAGAGGGATCCACTCACTCTCGGGGGTCCACCCACGGGGATCCACTCACCCACGGGGATCCACTCACCCAAGGAATCCACCCACAGGGATCCACTCACCCACAGGGATCCACTCACCCTCGGGGATCCACCCACGGGGATCCACTCACCCTCGGGGGTCCACCCACGGGGATCCACTCACCCTCGGGGG